CCCCCCAGCCATGCCACAATATTACAAATGAGAGAAAACCCCAAAACCACTCCAACAAATATCCAAACCATTGCCAAAAGTAACTTCCAGGGGGCCCCGGCTGGGGAGGGCCTGGGAGCTCAGGATGGGAAAACGGTCCAGTGCAGCCCGCGGGGACCGGGCTCGCAGCCTGGGCGCACCTTGTCCTTCTCGTGCGAGCTGAGGTCCAGCAGGACGTGCAGGTACTGGAACTGTCGAGACGGTCGCTTGAAGATCAGGTCTCGGAGGGTGGACATGCCCAGGTAGGTGTGGCTCTGCGGGAGGATGGACAGGCCCCAGTGAGCCAGGCCTCTCCTCTTGGTGACGTCCCCACAGCTCAGTCTGCCCCAGATCCACATCCATCGAAGGGTGGGCGGGGGGAGTGCGCAGGTGGACCTGCAGGCTGCCCTGGGGGCCGTGCTTGTGACCGTCTCCCCACAGATGGGGGATGTGGACAAAGGCCGGGCGCCTCTCTCAGGGCCCCCTCCCTCAAGGCTCCCAGGATGCAGGGGTCCTACTGGGGGCAGGGCTGAAGGGGTCTGATGGGCACCCTCCCCTCCTCCGTCCCCACTGCTCCCCACTCTCTCCTCACCTCGTCCTCGCAGTACTTCCTGATCACCTCCAGGGCGCTCTCGGTGATCAGCGGAGCCTCCAGCACCACCTTGGTGAAGATTCTGGGGGGATGAAGGGGACGAGATGGCTGCAGGGAGGCCCCCACTGCCACCCTGCTGGGTGCCAGGGCTGAGACCAGGCTTCAGCAGCCCAGCACCTCCCCTGTCAAATGGGTGCCTAGCTGTCTCCATGGACTGCCGGCAGATCCTCTGGAAGCCCCAGGTCCCCTGTTCGCAATTTAGAAGGTGACGAAGGCAGACAGCCTGCAGGCCCTTACTGGCATCACTGGCTAGAGGGCCGGGTAGGAACCGGGTGCAAACGTCAGGGCAGGGTTGAGTGTATATACAGCAGCGATGGGTGGGGACAGGAAGGTCTCTGGGCGGGAATGTGTGAGTAGATGCTGGTG